TTAATTCGTTAAGAATCTATAATTTCACCATTGTGAGTGGTCCTTTCTTCTTCATAGATTGTGAGCCTATGACTTGGTATTTGTTGCCAAAAGAAATTCATCAGCTAGAGGTCAACGTCCCCCAAATGGAACCCTCTGAACTCAGCCAGATTGGCCACAGGACATCAGGCATACAATCCATCTGTGAGGTAACAGCTGAAGCCTTTCCAGCTTCGACGGGTGTGACAAAGCTGTCAATGCACGGTGCCATGAAGCAAGGGTCATGTCTACTCTATAAGGAAGGATGAGAGGAGGATTTGGACAATGGGCTTGAGCTCTGTTCAACTCAACATACAATGATTGTTAATGCCTCTAGTCTGGTTGCCAATCCCCCAAAATAAAGAAGAGACATAACCGTGACCTGAAATCCTTTCTGGAGGCAGTCAGGGGATCAGTCCTATGGCTATACGTAATTCTACGTGAAGAGTCTAAAGCATATTGCCCTCTTCCACTAAGCTGAGGATAAGTTACAACAGCAGGAAACTTGGGAAGTGGGTATTGTCATAACCATCATCGATGGTAAGAAGCAGTTCCCCTCCGCCCCCTCTTTTAAAGATTCTCTTAAAAAAACTTTCATTTCATTTTCACATTCCAGTGACACACACGTCTCCTGGCACACACCCAAAAGGCACCTCCCTTGTTTATAGATAAATAGTGTTAACCAATACAAACCATTATATTATCCTGTCTGAAAATGTTTGATTCATTCTGGGTCTAATCCCCACCTCTCTGCCAAGGTAGAAAATGAACAAGATTCATTGAATTTAAGATCAGTCATTTCAATAATCTAAGTTCTTTTGACATTATTCCCCTTTACATGACTATGAATGAATAAGTAAATAAATGAATATGCATTTATTAGCTGCTAACCTCATGCAAAACAATATGTTAAGCACTGGGGACATAAATAGGCAGACTTTTCATCTCTCTTATAACTGAAACATTTCTAACCCATAAGGTTATGGCCAAATGAAAGGTAAGGCAATATCTGCTCCCCAGAAGCTCATATTCAAATAAAGAGAGACAGAACACAGAGGGAAGTGAGCTTCAAGTCACAAGGTCCCAGCAGTCCTTACAGAGCAAAGGCAGTTGGCAATGTAACCTCTTTCATACCATCTCCATTGATAAATCATGTCCATTTCTTTCTTGAACCATTGGAAAGTGTCAAGAATTTTAATGGGAAGAAATTTCTTGTTTGAATCTTCTGGATCTGTGGTCATTGCATAAATCATTCTCTTGACTTTGCTTAGCATCAGTTCATCAAAGTTTTCCTGTTTCTCTGAATTCTTCACATTCACCATTTCAAAAAATAAAGTTTAATCACTTCTATATAGCACAGTTTGTTCAGCCATTCCCTATACTTGGAATACACTGGCCCTTCACCTCTCCCTCTTAGAATGTCTAGTTTCCTTCAAGGCTGAGCTCACCTTTTACACAAGCCCTTTCCTGATACCCCTGGTGCTAGTACCTCTCCCCAAAAATATGATTATATATTTATTTTGTACATATTTATTTGTGTACATTATATCTCTGCTAATAGAAAGTAAGCTCATTGAGTAAGGACTTTTTAAACTTCATATTCCCAGTGCCTAATACAGTTCCTGGCCCATGGTAGATATTTAATAAATACATATTGATTGATTGAGTAAAAATAGCTAATCCATCATTTATTTTGTGAAGTGAGAACATTTGGGAACATCATGGAAACTCCCAGCTCTTCTACAGTCCAGTGCTATGAAAAGGTATGGGCATGGCCCATAGAAGTAGGGCCGTAAAAAAAATATAGAAGAGTTCTGTTTGGTGGGACAACAGGCTGGGACAGCTCCCTATTGGAAGGTCAAGAACCTTACCATGACTGTGGAGTTATATGGTTGCTTTGTAGGTTTGCATATGTAAGCATGTTCAAGATGGCAGGATCTTTTAAAGTCACACAAAGTTAAAAAAATACTCTCAAGACGCCAGATTGACCTTGGAAGCAGAAAAATGCAGTACTCACACGAGGTCAGATTTAAGCCCTGACATCTTGTAGTCCCTTTTAGGAATTAATGATTCAACTTAACATTTTGAAATATAGGCAAAGAGCAAAAATAAAATGGAAACCCATATGGTTTCCTAGCTTATTTCTGTGTTTAGGTGTGATGTGAATTAACATAAAAATATGTTCCCGGACCACCCACAAGTCTTCCAGCAGATAGTAGTTCTTTTATTTGCCTTGTGACCTCTTTATTCTATAGGGTGGCTTTAACACAGTATATTATAGCAACTTGGGCTCAAAGAGCAAATCCAGAAAGTGGGTGGGGTTGAAGTGAGAGTTGCCACTGGCATCTGGTACCTCTTTGAACTGTGGCCTCAATCCACTTATCCCCTTGACAGGAGAAGGCTTCCACTTGGCCGGATTTCTTGCTGTGGATCTCCTTTATAACTCAAGAATAAAGAACACCCAGTTCTCCAAGACATAAAGAAGTCAGAAGTGGAGAAGGGGATTGTGAGAGATACCACAAGGCAAGAATTCCTTATTTTACTGTTCTGAGTACAATTTTAATACTATGACTATCACAGATATGAAATATCAAATCTATCAAGGCCCTTGCTTATTAGCTGGAGGCTGAATCAGTCACTTTGAGAGATCCTTCCAAAAGAACGAAAGTGCTACTGTATCATCTAGAATCAGAGATTATGATTATTCATTATTCTTTCAACATCATCTAGTCTTAAGAGTAAAGCAGAGGGGCAGCTAGGTGGTGCAATGGATAGAGCATCAGCCCTGGAGTCAGGAGGACCTGAGTTCAAATCCAGCTTCAGACACATAACACTCACTAGCTGTGTGACTCTGGGCAAGTCACTTAACCCCAATTGCCTCAAAAAAGACAGACAGAGAGAGACAGAGAGAGAGAGAGAGAGACAAGCACAAGCAAATGAAAAAAAGAAATATAAAGAGGTGCCTTCTGGACAATAGCAAGAGGACTTAGTCTATAAAGAAGGTCGTATTATGTATTCTTGGTGGGGTTCCCCTTCCCTCGTATTGTCTCGTCTCATATCTCTACTGCAGAGAGCACAACTCCTATGGGCTGGCCATGTTGTTTGAATGCCAAACACACACTTGCCTAAAAGACTATCTTATGGAGAACTCACACAAGGCAAGTGCTCACAAGATGGTCAGAAAAAGTGATACAAGGACACTCTCAAGGTCTCTCTTAAGAACTTTACAATTGATTGTGTGACATGGGAGACACTGGCACAGGACTGCTCACCATGGCATTCCCACATCAGAGAAGGTGCTGTGCTCTACGAACAAAGCAGAATTGAGGTAAGTCAAAAGAAATGTGAGGTGCATAAATGTAGGGAATGCACCCCAAATGTTCACATGGACTATATGTGCCCAACCCATGGTAGAGCATTCTGAGTTCATATTGGTCTGATCGCTCACAGTTGGACACACCAACTTGACTCTAACATAGTGTCGTCATTTTGGTTTTCTTAGAGAACAAAGGACAACAACCGGCCATTAGTCTAATACAGAAGTCCTTGATTACACAGAAGGACAATGTTAATTCCTTGTTTTTTCATTCAATTACAAGAACTGTTTATTTTTATAAGGGGCTTTCATTCTTGGAATTTCATCAACAGAGAGAGTTTTACTGATGGGCACCAGCATCATAATTTCAATTCTTAGGTAATTGCCTGGGAACCTGAGAGGTTAAGACCCAGGCAGTATGGATCAGAACCTGAACCCAGGGCTTCCTGACTTCAAGACTGGCCAGATTTGTTATGCAGAACTTTACAAGTGGTTTCAAAGGATTCGATGACACATATTTCCTAGAGATGTGACATTATAATTTTTTATCTTTAACTGCCCAGAATAATCCTCAGGAACATGTGCCTAGTAAAGTCAAGCCAGTTCATTTACAGAAATGTATGAGTGACCTAAGGTGAGTATTTATTATTTGTTTTGTCCTCAAAAAGGAAAGCCATGTCCCGGGAAGGGAATTAGCTCCTCAGCCAGGAACTGCCAGTGACCCAGATGTAGGGTGATTGACAACTCAGCTGTTTTTTTCTCATCACTGCCACCAGGAAGTTACGTATGCCAAGTGCTTAGCAAAGTATCATTTATTCACAATTGTTGTTGTTGTATAGTTGTTTCAGTCATGCCTGACTTTTTGTGACTTCATTTGGAGTGTTCTTGGCAAAGATACTGGAGTGGTTTGCCATTTCATTCTCCAGCTCATTTTACAGATGAGGAAACTGAGGCAAATATCATTATTCACATTATTTCCATTGACTAGAAGTAATATAAGACAGAAAGGCAGAGCAGAGGAAGGGCAAGCCCTGGTGCCCCCTGCTGATCATGGACAGGTTGCCAAGCCTCTCAGTGCCCCACATAATTGTTTAAGCAAAGAAGTTACAGGTGGGGTGCCACTTTGCATTGGAGGGAATTTCCTTATCAGGAGTTCCATACACAGATGATAGGTCCAACCCCTTTGTCACAGCTACAAAATGCATATAAGAGCATTCTTCTCGCTCAAAGTATGAATGTTGGAAGTGGGAAAAGAGGAACGAGAGAGAATGCCTTGACTAGTTCATGGAAGGAAGGAAGGAAGGAAGGAAAGCAAGACTTAGAAAATGAGTAATTCTACCCATAGAGAGATTATGTAGGCTCTTGGCCAGTTCACCTGCCCCACAGTGCTCTGGGGTGAAGGTACAAACTAAAAACAAATGGTTAATTGCATGCATTTCTCTTTTATGTCCCTTGTGCTGTCTTCCCAACATTACCTAGTTACATGAAACCCTTGCGTTTTATTAAAATGTTAAAAGGATAATTATTTTAAGCCAGTTTTACCTCAGCAAGAACTTGGGCCTGTATTGAGCTTGTCTGATTGTTTCTTTCTCTGCCCCGATTAATTCCTGCCTCAGTTTACATTCCGTCTCTAATTTGCTCCTGTCTGGGTGAATGGAGTACCCACCTGAATGCTGCAAGGTACTCCACATCTCCCATGGGGGGGTCGAGGCCACCTGTCCAGGCAATATTCACATTATATCCCTCTCCAAGGCCACTTCCAACCTGGGAAAAGGAAGAACGCCACACTGGGTCACAGGGAGGGGGCACAAGGAAGAAAGTCCAAAGAGAAGCAAACAAACCCGGGCGAGCTTTTGAAACAAACATCAAACGACACATCAAATCGGCGGGGCCCTGCTTGACAAGTCATGTTCTGGATTATACACTTGTTCCTGGTTGGGCCACGGTCTCCTGGGAGAGCTCAGTAATCTCATGTAATTGAAAGCACCAGCAAAGGACTAGAAAATTAGGGGTAATCACGCCATGCAATTATGGGCAAGATACAAATAAAAACGGGACTCTGAAGAAAATAAACCTAACCTCATCTGGGGCTCCGCTGCCGGGAAAGAAGTTGCCTTCATCATATCGATGGAGGGAAATGTACAGGATGCTGGGGTCAGCGTAAAAAGCCTGCTGGGTACCGTTCCCATGGTGGACATCCTAGGGGGAGCAAACAGATGGAGTCTTGTCCTGCTCGGTGTGGAGACAGTTTCTGATGCCTGCTTCTCCCCCTACCCCCCACCCCCCACCCCATGCTCCCTCTCTTTATTTCTTTCCTTCCCTGGCTGCATCCCTCTTTTTTATTTCTGCTTCTACTGCCACCCCCTCGACTTCCTGGACTTTGGGGCAAATTACTCTTTAATGCACTCATTTTTTAAACTGGCTTCTAAAAATCAGGAAACCACAGCCAGCATGCCCTAGAGACTCCAGATGAGCAGTCATTGAGAAATCCCAGTCCTTTTGTACAATTAGATATTTATACACCGGCCCTTTGTAGTCCTTGCCCCAGTGATGGAATCTAGCATCCTGTTTTATGGGGGGAGTTTATGACTTATTAACTGCCAACAGTTCATAACCCCTCTGGCTTAATTAACCAGCCTCATTGGCCTCCAAAGAAAGACGAATGTTTAAGCTGCAAGCTCACATTCTGCAGAAGGAGCTAGGGTTTGGAGAGCATTTTCCACTATTCTTGACAGAACACTAAGCCTGAGTGTATTCACTGATTTGCCAAGTTCCACCGCCGAGGTCAAAGGCTCTGCAACCAGCTGAGCAAATTGGCCTTCTTGAAGTGTTCAGTTCAGTGAGCAGTCCCTCAGCAGTTAGATTCACTTCAAAAGAGATGCCAGATGCAGAAAGGACTTCATACTTCATGTTCGTAAAATCGTGACGGCAAGGGTTGAAGACCCAGAAGTATGAGCTCATTAGCTATAAAATCAGTTGGCCCAAAGCAGGCAGAGAGCACGGGGGATTCACACACATCAGGGAGAAAGCTCATGCAATCTGCATAAATCCAACATTATGTGATTGCCTGAAAGTCTTGACCTATCTCCTAGCCTCCATCTCCCACCAGGATAAAAAAAAAGGGGGGGAAGAAAAAGCTGTTGTTTTTTAATCCTCTTCCATTAGACAAATAATAAAAGAAAAAAAATTTGGATACTTGGGTATCTGTAGATGATTCAAAGTTTTCAAAACTCCCCCCTTTTTTCCTATTGTTTCATTTTAGAGCACAAAGTTCCTTGTGTATTGGAATTTATGAGTGAAAAGGGAGGAGTCCAGTTGTATAGAGGTGAAAAAAATCAACAGCCTTTTGTTACACTGCACTAGAAGACTGCAAGTACTTGAAAAAAAAAACTAATAGACTGAGCTTTCCCTTTTTGGACCTAAAAAGTTATGGCCAGCTTTGGGGGTGGGGGCTGGGAGAGGAAAGTGTTAAGTGAACTAGGCTGTGCCTATCTGGGCAAGGGGTGTGCTGTTTGTTATCTGGTGGGGTGTCTCATTCCGGTATAACAAAGGACTAGGAAAAAGTCAGAGAAAATTGATGTTTTTTTCCGAGGTAATTGGGATTAAGTGACTTGCCCAAGGTCATGCAGCTAGTAAGTGTCAAGTATCTGACCTGAGACCAGATTTGAACTCAGGTCCTCCTGACTCCAGGGTTGGTGCTCTATCCACTGCACCACCTAGCTGCTCCAAATTCTTTCTTTAATGATACAAATATATACCATGTAACGGTTGTAGTCTGGATTTTGTAAAGTACAGTTATGAGAACTTGGACAAATGAGTATAAAGATATGGATGAATACAATCATTCAATAAGATTTATCAAAGCCCTAATAATTGCTAGGCACTGTGCTAAGCTCCAGAGATACAAAGACAGAAACAAAACTTCCCCTGTCCTCAAGGAGCTTCCAATCTATTCACCAAAGCATTGTGATAAAACATATCTATTAAATGCTTTAATGTTTGCGAGATGATTTGTGAGCAAATTCTCATGGAGCTCCCTAATAGCCCCTGCAATAGGAACAGGGGTTATTGCTATACTTATTTTATAGATGCGGGAATCGCTGCTGAGAGAGGGCCACCTGACTGGTCCAAAGGAGGACTTGGGTTCAGCTCTCTGCAATAGCAAGTCTGCTGCTTTCTCTACCACCATGCAAAATGAAAGCAATTGTTCTGTATTTTTTAAAGTTCTTTTGGTTGTATTATCTCAGTTCCTCCTTCCAACAACCCCACCAGCAAGACATGAGCTAGACAGATCCTAGAATCCCCATATTTCAAGTGAGGAAAATAACTCATCCAAAGTCACACAATGGTTCAGAACCAGACATTGGAAAAAGCACTAGGTCCACATGAGAGGACTCAGAGTGGAAACTGAGTGCAGACATTCACTGCCTGTGTCACTTCGGTGGTCTCTTTTTACTTCTCCAGACCTCAGTTTGTTCTTCTGTAAAATGGGAGTATTGGACTAGGGGTCCTCTAAGAGACTATCAGGTCCCTCACGGTTTCAACTCTTTCATCCTCTGTTCCTGTGCTGATAGTGGCAGAGCCAATCTCAACCCCAGGCCCCTAATGACTAGGCAGGTCCCTACTGTTTTTACACACTACATGTCATGGTCTTACTGGATTCACCCTTAGCACATTTAGACCTGAGCACATTATCCCACAATGCCCATAACGTGGAATTCTAAAGCACCATTCTGTGAGATTTGTATCAGGTCTTCAAAATCATGTTTGGGAATTTTATGTAGTTTGAAGAGAGTGTTTAGAAAATGCTGTGTGTGCAATGCCTGAGCCCAGAGCACACTCATTTGTTAAAGAACGTCTGAGATAGAACACAAGATTCCACTGAGATGTGTGTGCACTCCAGCGCAGGAACTGAGAAGGAAGGAGAGAGGAGACCATAAAACTATCATCCTTAGTATAAAGGACCCAGGAAGCAGTGAAAATAATGTGTTTGGGGGGTTTTGTTTGTCTGATTTTTATGCTTTTTTTCTGGAAATCTTGAGAAAGGACAAGCCACATAACTGAGGCTGTCTGTATTCTCCTAACATAGTAGTATTGTGATTCAGAGTTGCAGGGAAAGTTTTGTTTCAGCTTCAAATTCATCTAGATAATATTAATGAAACATTAATTTAGCCTTTAAAGAGGGGGCAAAAAAGAAATACATACATACATATATATATATATATATATATTTGTGACAATAGAAAAAAAAGTTATATTTGGAATGAAAGGACCCGGATTTGAATCTCTGTTTTGCTAAAAAAAAAAAAAAAAGCTACTTGTGCGACACAAAGTCACTGCACTTTTCTGCGACTCAGTTTCCTCAAAGGTAAAATGACTGAGTTAGACTAGAGGAGGGGTGTTGTGGTACTGGCTTTGGTTTCAGAGGACCTGGGTTCAAAATCTATTATTAGTGACATGATCTCAGGCAAGTCAGTTCACCTTCATGTGGCCTCAGTTTACTTATCTGTAAAAATAAGGGAGTCAGACTAGATGAGTTTTAAAGTCCTTCCCAGTTTTAAATCCATGCTTATGTGATCTTTAATATCCCCTCCAAACTGAAATGTATTTTCTTATTTCCCTAGGGAGGCATTTGTTCAGTTGAGTCCTTTGATGCGGTAAAATAAAAATCATGAATTTTTCTAGATATTAATGTGTTTAGGTTAATCTCTCTTACTAGACCAATACATTTTATTAGTGCTGCTTAAACTAATAGTTTTTTTCAATAGTAGGTGAACTCCTTGAGGGCAGGAACCACTTTTATAATCGTCTTTGAATCTTCATTACCCAGCATAGTACTTGGCAAACAATCACATTTCATATGCAGTGTTACCCATATATTTACAATAAATGCTTTTCACCTCTGGACTGATGTAGAAAGATTCACATGAATCCAGTAAATAATAGCTTTATTCTGTTCAGATATTCCCAGGGTATGTAGGGAATAGAAAGAAATTCCAAAGGAGGCTTTTTTCTATGGGTCAGAACCCATCAAAATAATATGTAGTGTGACCTTGTATGTGAAATGGCCATTATAAAGCACAGAATTATGGAATCAGAAAAGATCATAGGAATTGTTTTACTGTTGTTGTTTTTCCATATTCCACTTTTTTTATATACTTTTATAGCAGCAAAGAACTGGAACCAAGCCATCAATTGGGGAATGACCTAACAAGTTGTAGTAAAGGAAAGTAATAGGATATACCCGTACTGTAAGAAATGATGACAATGATGAATCCAGAGAAGAATGGGATGATTTTTTTAAACTGATGCAAAGTCTAGTCATTCTTCCATGTTACTGTACTTGTGGAATTAATTATTTTAATCCAAGTGCAAGACTTTTATCTCCATTACTTTTTAGCTTCTCAGATTCAGCCCAAAATTCTATGCCATGTAGATATTTTTGAATCTGGACCACTGCCAGCAGCAGCAGCAGCAGCAGCAGCAGCAATATTATCACTAGCATTTATATAGCAGCTGCTATGTGCAAGGCATTCTGCTAAGTAAGGATTTTCTAAGTCGAATGTCATTTCACACACACACACACACACACAAACACACACAATACACAAATCTTAAAAGGTAGGTGCCATTATGATCACTATTTTACAGTTGAGAAAACTGAGAAACTGAGGCAAGTAGAGATTAAAGTAAATCACATGGCTGGCAAGTTTCTAAAGCAAGATCTTAAGATTGAGGATTTTTTGACTCCAGGTCCAGAGTTCTATTTACTCCACCATTTCTGGTTCACTTTCTATGCTGAATCTATGTCGTCTGAATATTTGATAATCACACCATCTGTGTTTTCATTCAAGATAATGGCAAAAATCTTAAACAATACAATATTAGACAATAAAAACATTAGACACCAGGTGATGCCTAAGACGTGCCACAACTGAAGAGCCTCCGTTCATCTGACATCCCACCCTTATTGACCACTCTTTGAGTCTAGCCATACAACTGACTCCAAATCCAACTAACTGTAACATCATATGACCCGCCCCTCTCTATTTCATATGCAAAGATAGCATGACAGACTTCATGAAAGGATTTGTGGAAACTTAAGCAAACTACAGCCTCAACACTCTCCTGATCTACCAGAGGAACAATCCTGTCTAAGAAAGAGAATGACTGATGTGGCTTGTTCTTGATGAAACCAT